TGGCTAAAATGCCATCAGAACGCTGATAAATAAAGAGGAAAAAGGGACAAGAAGAGAGGGACAAAACCTAGAACAAATAATGGATGTCTACTCTATTAACATTTCTCTATCTGTAGAATGGGTCTGTTTTATGGGTTGTCTTCTCAGAGGGCCCCCTGCCTGTCTTTGCCTAGGGCCCCAAATTTCCTAAATCCACCCCTGACCACCAGTCTGGACTATTAATACCAGGATGGATCCACGTTTTCAGACCGTTTCCACCATGTTCTAATCCGACCATGTGAACCCTTCAGCTATAGTCCAAACTCACCGGACCAGGAAATATTTGCCACAACAATCCCGCCCCCTTGGGTCCAGTTCTGGTGACTCTGTGTGTCTGTGGTCCCGGCTTCTTAGCTTACATTAGTGGAACAGAGAGGAGTTCTGCAGCTCATCTGCCTTAAGGTTCCACCTGTTGTTCTATCTGCAGACCTCGGTCGGTACCAGCTGGTAAATTCTCATAATTTAATTAAATAATTGTCATAATTTTATTACTTTATTCTCATAATGTTACGACTTAATTCTCATAATCAGCCAATCAATTCCCTGTGATTGGCTGATTCACTGTCATCAAACTTGTCTCATGAAATAATTGAATACAATAAATGGTAAATGGCCTGTACTTATATAGAGCTTTGATCAAGTCAGGAGACACACACACACTGATGGTGGCAAGCTACATTGTAGCCACATCTGCTATAGAAATATTGAGTCAATCCTGAGGTTCGTTAAACTGAACTCTGAGCTGCGATTGGTTCTTCCTCACCTCAAACAGTCCCAGGGTGCCGCTGGGCAGAGGAGCTCCTGTCTGGTGGTTCCTGGTTTCTGTGGTTCCAATCCAGGAGGGCTGAATCAGGATGACCACCTGGATGATAGCAAAGCACAGCGTGCAGACGGCCCAGAGGACGCCGACCGCCCGGGCGCTTCGAACGAACTCCGTCTGGTAGAGACGAGACAGGTCGGCCAGGCCTGGCGACACCGACATCCCTGACAGACGGAGACAGGAGGGTTAACAAGACTTTATAGCATTGCCAATAACAAAATGGAGGCAAGCCTGAGGAGGGAGAGGAGAGTCTATAATGTTCACTTTCACAGATGACTGTTACTATAGTAACAACTGTTAAAACATGTACGGCTGGAAGCCTTCTACACCAAACCAAGCTTCTGCCGCCCTGGCGTCCTCTTCCACAACATCTTCGTCCTTATTTCTTATTTCAACCGTTGCGTATATTAGCTGCGACTTATGAATCAAGATGCTATGACTGAAAACATTTGATTGACAGATGACCATTGATATATGATTGGCTGAATTTAGGTGTTCAGGCTGACGTAGAACTAACTGGCCTGCAGAAGATAACGGATTTCTTTCTTTTTATAGAAATGTTCTAACTTGTGGGACAATATGGTCTGATAAAGAATACATTTATATCCATGTTTAAGCCAGAATGATTGACATTTAGATATGATTTCCCTACGACTTTAAGATTTGATCATATTTACTTAAAATATCATCTTACCTTGACCGGAATATTGATTTGCGCTACGACTGTTTATTTACAGAACATTGTAGTAAGTTTAATTCAGAAAGCTTCTGTCCAAGTTTTATTAATTTATTCTATAGTAATTATATTGTATATCCTGCACTTGCTGCTTTTACACTTCTGGTTAGACCTAAACGGCATTTCGTTGCCTTGTACCTGCACCTGTGTAATAACAATAAAGTTGAATCTAATCTAATCTAATGTGACGACCCTTCCAGCTGGGGCACTGCTGCCATGGAGGATGGAGGCTCAGTAGGTCCCTGGTGAAGGGCTCAGCAGACCTGCGGGCAATGTTCTCTGAACACACCGGTTTGTTTATGGCCTACCCCTGTCATCATTACCCCAGAACCATCTTTAGTCTGCCTCTAAATGTCAGAAGTTGTTGAAAAGACGACCCAGATTCCATGATCAGAACTAGGCCTCATTGGAAATGTTCCCCTGCCTCCTGATTGGCTCCTGAGATGCACACACTCAGCATCCAGCTGCAGATCTCAGGAACAGTGAACAATCTGAGTGAAGCAACACATCATCAGCCAGTTCACCATTCATCAGAGGACTGCAGCCAAACAGAGCACAGAAATCCTCACCGCAGGATCAAAGAGGGACAACAAAACAAACCATCAAAGGTTCTGCAGGAAACAGCCTGACGGAGCTGCAGCCAATCACATTCAGCCCTGAAGCATCGCATCAACATCCCGGGATTAACCAGACGACCCGCGGCGCATTCATGTTAAAACAGGCAGCACAAGAAGAAAAGGGCAGACCTGCAGCAGGAGGAGGGTGAGGAGGTCCGAATGGAGGAGGAGGATGTTTCCTGCAGGAGGAAGAGGAGGAGGATGTTTCCTGCAGGAGGAAGAGGAGGAGGATGTTTCCTGCAGGAGGAAGAGGAGGTCTGACTCTCTGCAGGAGGAGGATGAAGAGGTGGAGGGTTTCTGCAGGAGGAGGAGCTCCCCGGATAATGATGCTGTAGATGATGAGGAGGGTTTCTGTGGGAGGGTCACCATGGAAACAGGCTGTAGTTCGTCACCATGGCGACAGCAGCGAACCGCCTCTCTGGGAGGTTTTAATGCAGAAACCAAATATGTGACCAAGGAGCATTTTCTGACCCACAGCTGAACGTCTTAGAATCAGAGATTTATTTCTACGCTGGTTCTGAATCAGTAATTATCTCTGGCGGCACAGAGGCCCAAAGGTTCGCTGGTCAGAGAAGGTTCTGCCTGTATTATTAATAGAGTCTAACCTGAAGACAAACCTGATGCTACGTTCACACCTAAAGCAGCAGAAGCAGCAAAAATGCCATGAGGCGGGGCCTTTAGGACCCTGCCTTTATTCTCTATGGATAGGAGCCACATTGGGGAGGGATTTTATAAGTGTTTACTTTTACCCCCTTCTTTTCTGGACTT